TCCTTTACCCAGAGTTTGTTTCCGACTAAAGAACACCTGGCAGATAGATCCAAAAAGATGGCAAAAAATTGTTTTGAGAGAGAGATCTCTTATGAGAGATATATATATTAGTGTTTATCGATACAATTCGAATATAAGGGCCAAAGGAAAACCAGTTGAACATTCTCACCATAGGTTAAGATATTGATCAGGGATAACCATCTTCTCGGCAGACAGTAAAAGAAGAGTGCATGTCCGGTGATATACACTGATTACAAAACACTGCATGACATGCTCCTGACATACGGTACGATGGATAAACTCACCTAACTCATCTGATGAACCACTTACACACTTATGAAATTGACCAAGTGACAATAAATTTCCGTCTCAAACCCTCAATAACTCATCACTTGTCTTGAAGACTGAAGTCCACACTCAAAGTCCCCTATAAGTACCTCTCATAAATGAGGAAAAATGATAAGTTAAAAAAGAAAAAAAAGAGGAACCCAAGCTTGCTCAACCCCTCAGTTTCTTCCTTCAAATTTTCCACTTACACATTTATCCGATTATTGATCGGAGGAGATTCGGCTATTATCACAGAAGACTCGACCGTCAGAGCCTTGTTCATTCCTCACCCCTACGAGCCTATCACGAACCCCAACATCCGTGGTTCGTGCCTAGAACTGATCCATCAAGTGTGATACCAATTTCTGTTTCAATTTGTTTTGATGGACGGTAGACTTGGTGTTGGTAGTGGCCAATTACTAATGCCTTTTAGAGGCAGATTGGCTATGAATTGTTGGTTATGTGGGAATGGGGTGTATTACATACTTGGATGATCACCTCAATCACGTCGTTAACGAAATTCAAATTAAACGAGGTACAATAAATCTTGCTCTTGAAGTTGAAGAAAATTACCATCACCACCGCAACCACTATCGTTCCAATACTTTCAATAACATCACCATGAAACTAATTTTTTTACAAAACTTGAGATTTATGAAGTTATATATTTAATTTCATAATTCATGTTGTATATTCTTGAGAATTTAATGAAATGACGAGTATTCCATGGTGTAATCTTTGGAATATTTAGGTTGAAAATTAAACTTATCAAATATAAGCAAAGTTATTTAGACTTGTGGGTTGAGTCTAAGCACACTCATGCTCATGAGAGCACAACATACAAATTTACCCACAAGTTAGTACATCGAGTTTTTAAGTTTAAATACCATATAATTTATTTTCGTTAATCCAGCCTACGTGATTTATGAATAAACATGAAAATAATGAATTTACATTGTAACTATAAATCTAAAAACGTGAGACAACAATGCTTTTTCTTCTTTAAAAAATTGTCATCCTTCTCTACATAGCTCCAACAAAAATTACAAGTAGCACAAAATGAATGTGAGAAATATTCATTATCGCTACAAAAAAAATCACCTCACTACCACTATGTTCAATAGCACCAGATCGCCTACTTTTTTGGATGATCTCGACCGTTCATTTCTTCTCACAACCTATATGGATCGTCCATCAATGCTTCTTTTCCAGCGATTCAGCCCAAAACTGAATATTCTGATCCGATGGACTTAAATGGATCTTCCTCTGTAACATTAACCAGCACAGCGATCCTCCGCCGTCAGATTTCAAGTCCTTCTTTCCCGCCATTTCTGCCCTCCCAGCACCGCCGTTCCACTCCTTCAACACCGTTGATGTGGTCGACGACGACGACGACGTCGAGTCACCACCGTCTGAGAAATCCAAGTCAATCGAGTCTCCACAAGAAAAGTCACAAGACTCACCACCAGAGGATTTTTCACTCTTCTTCGATCCAATGCGACTCAGCCTTCGCCAGCGGCGATCATTCTCTCGCTTCATCAAATCACGGAAACATATCGCCGATAAACCGTCCAAGATTGTAAAATCGGAGCTTTTATACACTGTAACAGCGATATTGAGAACGCCGTGAAATCGGCCAGAGGGACGGCGGATTTGAACGGCAGTAAACGCTGGAATTCCGATTCCGGTGACAGAAGCACCGCCTTGGAGACAGCTACTGAGAAGGAAACGGACAGTGCCGATGAGTTTATCTTTGATGTAACCGACGGCGTAGATCTCGACAGACACGGCGGAGGTCTCGCCGGTGACGAAGTCTTTGTCGACTCGAAAGAGGAATTTGTCATTCCAAGTAGGGTTTTCGCCTCCAAGTCGATCAATTTGGGTACGGAGCTTTAAGGAGGGTTCGATCCAGATGAGTGCGTAGGTTTGCATACTGTGCAAGTTAGCGGAGGGGGTCTTTAGATCTTGAGCGGACATCAAGCTAATCTCTAGAATCTGAGTCTCGCCTTCCATGTGCGTCTCCCTCTCTCTCTCGCTCACTTCCTTTAAAGCTTATTTTCTCCTTCTAAATACATATTTGCATACTGGGATACATTTATCACCCAACCTTCTTGAATTCTTTGTTTTCCGGTGATTGGAATAAGCGACTCCGATTCAATTCAAGAATGGAAGAATTCAAAAACCAACGAAGGACACTAAGCATTGAAGAGAAAGAGAGAGATTTGAAGTGAGTTCTCTCCCCGTCTGTTTTGCCAGTAGGCAGTACCGGCCTAGGCCCTAGGATTTTAGGGGGCAATTATGGGTGGTCTTCGGCTCCCTTGGCCAGCTGTAAATAGGCTGGACTCCTCGCATGTTTGCCGATCCTGGCCCTGCATCCAAGCCCAAAGTGGTTTCCTTCACTTTTTTTATTTTTTAAAATTTTTCAATACTTCCATTCTTTATTTATATTTTTTGGTAACTTGGAAACTAAGATCACATAATACTAAATCGGAAGAATCATGTCCGATGCTACTTAGAATAATTTTTAAGTATGAGCTCAAGCATAGAGATCAGACTAAGAGATTAGAGAAGACACGCAGAGTTCAAATGATCAGAGATAGAACTTCTCTCAGACATGACAATAATAGAAATGATAAGAAAACAATTGAATGACAACAAAAATCTTACAGGTGACAAAGAGTCATATTCAAGGCCAAAATCCTTAACTTGTCAAGATTCTCTCTTAAAATCAAGGAGAGTTTCTCGGATAAATAGCAAAGATTTCGGTGCAGATCCCGCATAACTAGGGATAATCTTATAAATAATATGTGACGCCTCCAAGAGAGGGGGACCCGAGTAACATACAATCAGTCTTGTAAACCTTTCGGATGATATATAAAAAAAAAGAGCAAAAGCCTCTATTAAAGAGTGGATTAGACAAATTTTCGAACTGGTAAACCATTATATTTTCATTGTGTCAACCCCCAAATTCCCCCTTGATACCAATTCTTGTTCTTTTGAGCCTTGCCGCTTAGATTGTAATAGTCATATACTGCTCATCTCATCTGTTTAATATCACAAAATTGCACCACGTTGATTTACACCATCAATGTCTATGCAAATTTCAATGTAACCCTTGTGTCATGCATTACAGAAAATATAGATATAAAATTGTTTGCACCAATTATTAAAGTTAATAATCAAATCAATTTTGTTAATTTGAATCGAGTCTATTAAACTAGTCTAAAAAATTGTTCAAATTTATTTTAAAAATAAGTTAAATTCAAGTAATTCAACTATTTTATATATATATAAGTCGAGTCAACTTAATTACCAACTTTATTTACAATATGGGAAATCTCACATTAAATTACAATACAACATCTATGTTCATGTAAACTTTTTGATAATTAGTGGGCATCTTTTTATGTTGATGTAAACTTTTTGATACTTAGTGGGCATCTTTTTATGTTCATGTAAACTTTTTGATAGTTAGTGGGGCTTAACTAGTTGTGACGGACCAAGACATTGGCTTTAATTGTAGCTAGTATAATTCTTTGAACAATTGCTAGGCAAACGAAGTGTTATGATCTTTTTTATTTTCTGTTAGTCTTAAGATTTGCAAGCATCATCCTCGGAGAATCAAAATAATAAAACTGTCTTACGAATGCACCAAGACCCATGATTTATTATACATTACAGAATAGACAATTATTACACACAACTTAAAACAGGCAATGAAATCCAACCCCAACATTACACCCACTCGTTTACATCCAAGAAAAAAAAAATTAGGATGATATTTATCACGATGTCAATCCCACAGCTGCCTCTTTCAGCGGATCATTGGACGATTAAAGACACGAAGACCTGGATAAAGGAACTTTGTGTCGTCTCATCTTCAATTTCTTTTGCTTAGATAGTCTCTTCTCCAAGTTTTCGACTCTTCCTGAGAGTTTGGAAATGGCAGTTAGCTGTTGTTTCCCAGCTTCAATCAGCTTCTCCACCATCTCCCTCAACTTGTCGTTCTCTTCAATTAGCTTTCTATCATTTTCCACCATTAATTCACTTCCAAGAGAAACCTGGCTAGCAGTTGGAGACATAGGGGAAACCTCTGCCTCTTCAGCTTGCTTAGCACTAGCTGGAGGAGCAAACAAGTCCTCTACGGCCTCGCCTGAGTCAAAAGACGGGTTAATCTTCTCATTTTTTCCAATCGGTAATTCTAACTCGTGAGATTCAAGCTTGCCATCCTGCAGCTCTTGCTCCTCTTCAACTGCTGTCTTTTTCTCCATTGTACATTCCTTGGTTCCAACAAGCACTTCCAACTCTTGAGAGAGAGAAGCTGTACATTGCAAACCCGAATCAGTGCTGTCAACAGCAGTCATTCCATCGTCTTTGTGTGTTGCATCATAATTTTCATTTTGCTTGAATGAGATCTCTCGTTGAGCTTCTGCAGATTCATTATCGTGAAGGACCTCTCCTCCTGGTTCAATTTCCTGAGCTAAAAGGCTGGCATCCCCAGTGAAATTCTCTTCCTTGTCTAATCTAAGCATTTCCTACTCCGCTTCACAAACTTTCACAAGCTCCTCTACATAAGCTGTTTTCCCTTGGTCTTCTTGTGAGTGTTGCAGTGATTCAGCCCCAGATTCCACAAGGACTTTGTCATCTTTTTCATCACCTTTCTCTGATTCAAACTAATCCACCATTGCTGCAGGGACTAGCCCTTCCTCCAGTGCTTCCTGTGGCTGCTGTTTTACTTGAGTTATATCAGGCGAACTTGTGTCAACTGCTGTTTGTGAATAAACTAATCCACCTTGGAGGGCTGCATCTTTCCCTGTCTCAGTCGGCCTGTAATTCTCCAACTCTTGAACTTCAGGATTTTCATCAAATACTTCTTGGGGTAATTTTGCCAACTCGTTCACATCCAACTCACACTTGTGAGACTCCCGAACCTCAGAATCTTGACCTATTACATTTTGTATACCTTTGTCAATATGAATTGAGTCATCTACCAGGTAAGAGGATAGTGCCACCTCCAATGGACAATTGATCTTCTCTTCCAGAGCTGACGGAAGTGGCTGCTCAATAGATGGCTCAAGCTCCAAATATTCATGATTATCTGTGAATGGAACTTGACAAACATCAAGCACTTCATTTCTCTGCTCATCTTTTGGTTCCATCAGTGTCTCCAATGCTTCCTCGTTGGAGTCTTACACACCTCGTCACTTGTAACTCCATGGCCCTGTCCTTCAGATCCCCACACACTTCTTTATCAACAAAGGTTGCCCCTGAAGTTTCCGCAGCTTTGGAGCCAGACACGCCATCTGCTATGAGGAGAAGCTCACCTTGACATTGCTCTACAGATTCGGTCTTGTTACTAATTCCACTCTCAGAAAATTCAGGTTCCACTTTTGCCTCTTGTCCTCCTTGAATGCAAGCTTCATTCAAGGGTTCACTGGGAAAATCTTCCACAGGTTTGGCCGCCTGCTCAATGGGTTGTTGAATTTTCTTCATAGTTAGAGAATCAAGCTTCTCCTGTAGGCTCACAAGCTCCCTTGCCACAGATTTCCTAACATCCCTGATGCTCGGGTGCAATCCCTGACAAATTGAAGAGATATAAAGTTAGGTTCGAATATCAATTTCTGATAATTCCAGAAACTAAGAAGCCAAAAAGAAAAATTCAACTCCAAGAGAGCCATCAAAATGCTTTGCAAATCAGTATCAACCAATTTTAATTGCGAAAAGCTCAAAAATCATGTGTGATGCAGATAATAAATGCTATGCGTGTGTCAAAGAGACATAGTGATGTACACTGACTAAAGATATGCAAGTACCAGAATACTAATAATGACAGACCCAACCTGGACACCATTGGGTTGCCTAAGTCTAGTTTTGCCCTAATATTACTTGTACACATACCTGAATGGTGTCGAGCTTCAGTAAAAGGCCCATTATAGTTTCTCCAACTGCTGCTTTTTGTTTTTCATCAACCTCCAGGTCGGATGAAGATTCAAAAGCATGAATACATTTCTTAACCTCGGCCATTTGTTCACCGACTTCAGCCATCTGCTTCAGTTTCTTCAATGGTTCCCCTTTCCTCAGTTCAAAGCCACAGTATGCCGACTGGATAATAGTAACGGCTTCAGCATCTGATAATTTCTTCCTCTTTCCTTTATGTGCTTCGTCAGTGTTATCCTCTTTTGACTTTGTAGCTTCTTTATCCTCTCCACTCTGCCATGCATCATCACAAATTTGCCCATCTAATGTTGCCTTTTCTGGCTCAATTGCTTGACCAGAATTCTTCCCCTCCATAACGTTGTCTCCCAGTCTGGCTTCCTGAGATTTAAGGGGCAGGATAAAAGGTCCCTCAGTTCGAGCCACATCCAAATCATTTCTCTCTTGCCTGGCTGTCCCTTCAACAACTTTAATAGTTTTGGTCTTGGTTTTGCAGGGCTCTACCTCCTTGCTGTAGTCTAGTGTACAATCCGGTGATTGCATATTTCGTTCAGAGCTTTCTTTCATTACAGTTGAGGTAGGAGACTTGGAACCGTCTAATGACAACTCCTCTTGCTTACCCTTGTCACCAGGAGGACTTGGAGACCTTGAACTGCCTTTATTGCTTTTCCTCCTTGGCAAGGGATCAACCCTCAAACAGACGGAAGGTAACTTGGCTGTCTTTAGCGGGGAAGAAGACAGTCTTTTGGCACTATCTTCAGAAGATATTTTCTCTTCAGCACGTGAGAGCATAACAGGAACACCTCTAGCTTCTCTGTCACCTTCTTCAGAAGCCTTCTTTTCCTCATGCTGTTGCACTTGTTTCACTGGAATTATTTTTTTAACAGCATTTTTATCCATCACCTTAGAGCCAACCTCACTGCCAGAATTTTCTTCGCTTTGTTGTCCTGTCATCAGCGTCAGGAAATCTCACTGGAGTAATCTTGACATTGGATGGTAATTCCTCGACAGATTGTTGACCACCCTTTGTTTCCTTAAGGTCTTTTCTTTTCACTTCCTCAGGCTTGTAAGGCATCCAATATATTGGAAAAGGGAAGGGACTATTTTCCTCATTCTGCTGACATTTGCTTCTCCTCTCATCCCCTCCTTGCTTCAATGATCCAATCCATCACAGACTTTTGGGTGTTGTTCAGAGGATTTCACATCACAGGGATAGTCATCCCCTTGTGTAGATTCAGATTCAATACGATCTCTGTACTCCTTATTTTTTATGTAACCAGGTGGAAACACATAACTGGATACAGATAGTTTTTCAACTCGGAAGGAACCAAGGAATCATTGCTTTTCTTTTCAGCATCGGGTTCTTGTTCTTCAATCCTCAGATTTTTATCTCCTTTTTGGTTGCATTGATGATTAGGACATCCACAGCAATGATGGTCTCTAGGCATATCCTTTGCGTATTCATACCTTGGCTGCACCCTTGCACACTGAGGAGGAAAATAGTGAGTCGGATAGGTTCCTGGGAATGCAGGGTAACTTCCATAACATTGAAACGATGATTGTAGTGGAAAATAAGGATAAGGAGGTCTGAAACCATAGTAACCAGGGAAATAGTTATGGTTAAAGCAGCCATGACATTCCACAGGATATGGAAAGCCACCATAAGGCCAAGATTCACATGTTGCACGAGAGTTGGCTGGAACATTCACTTGTTGTGAGACATCGTCAAAGCTTGGACGATAATGTGGGGCGTAATGCATTTTATTCGTCTGATAGGGATATGAGTCCATGCACCTGTCGACAGGATACATCTTCCCTGTTCAAGAAAAATCACCTGGTAATATGGTTGTGTGAGAGCGATCTCTCCCAACTAAACAACCAGATGTGAATGCAGTACCACGATTAAGAGAAAATATCAACTGCAAAGAAAACAAGATCTGTTAGCAATATACATACTAATCTAGGGAAACCACCAAACAGGGTGAGGAACAAAGGACCAAATCCAGTAAAGTAATTATAGCAACGGATGCATAACCTGATGTTATCACAATCAAAGCCCAAATCTTGCCAGAGAAATGCCGGAATTGTTATCTACTAGGTTACAGATAGGTAAAGCGGTAAAAAATGAAATAACATTACTACACACGGTTGAGGTATTCGAGTTTGCAAGATTAGCAAAACATTAAGTAACAGAAAAAATTATTTCTACCACAGATGAATTGAGACTATGCAAAAAAATTAGGCGTCTATATGATTCAAGGAGATAGTTCAAGGATCTACCTTTCATCAACTTCTCTAAGAGTATCCACAAGTTAAATCTAAAATCTAGTTTATCACCAGATGTCAACAGCAATTCTGTAATGGCATATTAGATGACATGAAGAGACAGGTATATTCAAAATTGTGGGACACAAGTCGTTTGCCTCCCAACACTTTAATTCTAGCACTTGTAACTAGACATAATAAGAACAAAAAACAAAGAATTTATGAGTGGTTGAAGTTACAACAAAAGATACCATGCCATGAATAAAGACAACCAACCGGCTAAGACAACACAATTACAATATATCGCATATGGTAAGAGTTTTATGTAAATATTAGTTGTAATAAGTATACCACTAGAGGATATCCACGTCTTTTGTATGGTACTAGTTAATTATAAATATAAGTGATTTGTGAAGGATAGGTTAAATTTTTGACCACTCTCCGTCGCCAATATTATGTTTACTCTTTAAACCTAACAACATTATTACTAATCACGACAAACTATAAATATTAGAAAAAAATATTTCCTGCTCTATTATGCAGCCTAACTCTGGCACCTAATAACTTACCGATCTTACATATATCCTCAGCAATCCCTAACCAAAATGAAGGCGTGATTCGATTCTAGAACTTTGATACGATACCAAAGAGACTTTCCAGCTTCGCTAGCTGACCCCCCCTCTTTTTTTTTATCATAACTTATTTCTATAATGTGCATATTCAAAAGACAATTTTGCAAGAACTAATTCGTGAGAGACCTCATCGTTCCCCAGCGAAGCAATAGACAAAATCATGAGCAAAAGAACGTTTTAACCACCAAAAGGATTGAAGAACAGACCCAAGAAAACAATCTTAGAATTGATCACCAACAAGACACCCATGCTACACACAGAACACTTATTCATCCACCAAAAATTGAACAAAAAACCCTTCACAATACCAACGCATACACTTCAAATGCCCCCAAACACTTCTAATTCCGACAATAATCCAATAGTAAAAGCACATCAAATTGTCCAATAAACCAAAAAAAAAAAAACCTTAAATTCAAATTCCAAGAGCACCACACAAATCTAAAATCTGTATCCTAAAATTGAAACACAATGCAAATGCAGCATAAAATCAAAAGAATCAGAAAGTTTGAAGCGATTTACAGTTTACAGAAGAGGAAACCAAAAATAGAATTACTCCTTCCAAGCGGTTCCACGAATCCAAATGACTCAGTTATCGACACAAATCCGTCCACAACCCAACCGAAAACTAGATATTCAAAGAGCTAACTCTTCTTTTACGCGATCAGTGTTCTCTCTCTTTTTCTTTCTGATGATCAGTTTACAACGTTCCAACCCTTTTAAATTGTGCGAGAGAGAGAGAGAAGGAGACGAAGAAAATCAGTTCTTTCTACCGGTTTCGAGAATCTTTCGCGCGTTTATTTCCCAGTGAACTGTCTAGATGCGTCCTGCCACGTGTCCAGTGTGGGTGAACTACTCTGCACCCTTGTTTATATTCGTCCAGTGCAACCGACATTGGCATCAAATTAATGGTGCGAAGTAAATAAAGCCTACTTCTAATTCAATGCCTCCCTTAAATGAATTCAGGTCGAATTCAAATTTGAATCCGATCTATTTGGACTATTTTGAAGTGGTGCACCCCACTCGACTAGCTCATTCTATGCGTTGTCATGCCAGCGTTAGGGTCTGGGCTAGTTTTTCAGGCCTGCCCTGATCCGGTGGCCAGTGTGGGCTCTATCGGGCCTAGGCCCATGAATTGCAGCATCTATCTCCCTCTTCCTCCGCCGGAGTCTGGGCTCCTACAGGGCCCAGGCCCATGAATAGCAGCATCTCTCACCCCCTCCCCCCCCATCCCAATTTCTCTCTATCAAGGTTTAGGGTTTTGAGCAAATAACCCAACATTCGATCTCTGGAAGAACGGTTGTGTTGTTTTTTCAATCGCTGAGTAAGGAAGATGGGAAAAGCAAAGAAAGCCCCAAAATTCGCAGTCATGAAGAAGATTGTCACCAAAAAAGCAATTAAACAGTAAGTTCATTAGCTCTCTCACTCTATCTGTTTGTATGCCTTTGGCTTTGTGTATATGTACGATTTTAAGGTTGTTCTGAACTTTGTTTTTCAGACACAAAGAGGAGATTTTGAACCCTAACAAGAAAGATTTGACTAAAGAAAAGCTCCCCAGAAATATGTAAGCAAGCACCCCTTCTGTCTGACGTTTATTGAGAGAGTGTATATGTATAAATTCTGACATGAAGGAATGCTTATGTGGTGCAGACCAAATGTGTCGTCTGCACTGTTCTTCAAGTACAACACTGCGTTGGGGCCGCCTTATCGGGTTTTGGTTGATACCAACTTCATCAATTTCTCCATTCAGAATAAAGTGAGTGATCAACAATTTTTTTGCCTTGAATTAATTTGAGTTTGTAATTGTTGGGGGTGATAGGAAATTGTGGATCTATGTGTTGGAAAAATTTTACATCGAGATTGTAAGGTTCCTTTTTTCAGTTCAGCCCATTTCGGCATTGCTCTTTTTGGTTTCTAAGACATTTTGGGGGTTTGATTGTGCATGAATCTTACACATTGTTAGCCGGGTTTGAGTAAGATAAAGAATAGATTAATGTCCCTTTGTAAAAGGGATCTTGTTTCACTTTTCTCCTTTTAGATTTATAAATGTGGTTGTTGATGATATGCTGTAGAAGATATACAACATGATTTCTTGACTTTTAGGTATTCCAAAAATGAAGCCCAAAAGGGTTTTGTTGAAGAATAATGCTATTGGGACCTCAAAATCTGACATAATTTGCTAACAGAATGAAGTGGCTTCATAGAAATCATTAGATCAACATCAAATTCTAATGTTTGATAGACTTGCACTCTGCAGTCAATTCAAAGGTCACAATGAATTAGGTCAACAAATTATGTCAGATTTTTTGGTTTCAATAGCATTACTCCTTGTTGAAGGTCTTATGCCTTTTTGGGCCCATTCAAGCCTTCCTTTCTCTTTTTTTTAATTGGGGAAAAATGCAGTAAAAGGAGAGTAGAGGCTCAGATGAGACTAACAGCTATTCCATTCCAGATATAGAGTTGAGTATCATGGATACCAGACAGAGATTAATTGTAAGAGAAACTATGTATGTGTTTATGTATCTCCACCTGTGTGTGCATGTGGGAGGGAGAGCCATAGGTGACTTATGAATCTAGTGAAAAAATGCAGAAAAACATGATAACCGCGTGGGAGTGCTTTTAGATTTGAAATAAGATGAACTTCTAATGGCAAGGGCGTGAGAGACTTTTGTGAAGCAGATTATAACCGGAAGGGTGAGGATGATAGATAAAATGATCTTAATTCTTAATAATGTATTAGTTTCCCTATCTATGGAAATCTATTTCTGTGAAAATTACTGGATGTTGTTTTCATTATTTTCTGAAGAAATATCTTTTTTAATCATACCACATGACAATTATTTGTACTGAATTTTTTTGTTTTCATTGTGTTTCTTGTGGAACAAACAGAGCCTTAGCCTAATGGTTTATTAGATACTACGTTATCTTCCTTTTTGATGACTTATATGAATCCTTCAATTCTGGTGCAGTTGGATTTGGAGAAAGGAATGATGGACTGTTTATACGCCAAGTGTAAGTTCCATAATGACTGTTTAAATACATACATATTATAGATTGTTTTTACTACTGCCTCCAATGCATGCTGTCTGTTCTTCTTATGTTGATGCTTGTATTGATGAGAACCATAGGATAGTGTAAATGATTTGGACATCTACATCAGGTTTAATCGGGGTTCATTTGCATCAATGTGCATTCAACAATTGCTAGTTGCTCATGTGTGCTATTGAAATCAGATAGAGTGGCATTGGAGTAGGATTGTGTGTCAATTTCAAGATAGAATTGGTGTTTTAGTTTATGCTATAAATTCTACGTAATTGTTTTAAGTTTTACCCTACCCATCTGCTGCTACTGCAGCATATGTGCTGCTTTTCCTTATTTCTTATCAACCGCAGATGAAGAATTTATTATCTCCATTTTTAATATCTATATTTCTTAATATATTACTTAATTAAAGGTCTCCTTGTTTAATATATATTTCTGTATCTTTCTTTTTTGAAAAAGGTACTCCTTGTATAACTGATTGTGTTATGGCGGAGCTTGAGAAGTTAGGTCAAAAATACCGTGTTGCTTTAAGGTATGTATGTCCTCGTATGCTTTTCTCAAGAAAGTCCTACTTCTGAAATGTTTTGCTTCTGTATTCCTATAGATATATTATTTTCTTGCTCTGATTTGCTTTACAAAAATTGAACAATCTTAAGTCCTGACGCTGACTTAATGAAGAACAAGAATATATGTCACTCTTAATATGTGAAGGATGGTGAACATATGTTCACTTGTTATGAATTATTCAATATGCCCCTTAGCATACGATTCAAAAGCATAGAACTTTGAACTGTATATGCCAGGAATTAAACAGAAAATGCTGTATTTAGTTGCCTACTTTCATCAATGAGCCATTCTCATTGTTTTTTCCTATCCTACGTTGTTTATGTACTGATTGCCCTCGGGCTTTCTAGTATTTTATTGATATAACAAACCTTCTTTCATTGTCCATTACCCTTTTTTCCCTACACAGAATTGCAAAGGATCCTCGATTTGAAAGACTCCCATGTATTCATAAAGGAACCTATGCTGATGACTGTATTGTTGATAGAGTCACTCAGGTATGATTTGATCCGAACAACCTGCTATGTCATTTCCTAGCACTACACAACAAATTAAGTCAGTTCTGACCTCCAAATTCAGTTTTCTTGTTACTTCTGTACTTCGAGCCATTTTCTAATGCTTGTTTTGGTTCTGTCCAATGTCAGAAGAATACGATGCTTGCACATTTGCACTTTTAACAACCTGCTATGTCATCTCCACTTCATTGCATTGACACCCTTGCCATTTTTAATGTGGTAACAAGTGTTCTCACAGGATATTGTGCTTGAAGTATGCTTGTATGCAAGGGCTGTGCATGGTGTCATTCTGTCAACCAATTTTTTAACCCAGACCCACTTGACACACCCACATACATGCACACTGCTAGGAGCTATATAGATTAAATGACATACACATATCCATAATGCAAGGCATGGGTACTGGTGGGTGGAAGTATTTCAAAGCCAAGAAGTACATGCGTTTCTCTTTAGGTACTGTAATTGTTCTGTTAAACAATACCATCTGTCACAGTCATTTAATTCTTGTTTGGATTGCATATTTTGGCAGGATTTAGCATGTCCTTGAATGGAGGGTTTATTTTCTTCCCCTCCTCTTTTGAAGTTTATAACCTTTATATGTTTCATGAAGTTGGATTTGCAATTTACTTTGATCTATCTTCTTCTCATGAGACTTACTAAATAATGTGACCAATTTTCAATATTAAAAATTCATAATTGTGTAGATTGGTCTGGTGAATATTCCCCTTAACCAATCTGTATCAATTATTTGTTGAAAACAGCACAAGTGTTACATTGTAGCAACATGTGATCGAGATCTAAAGCGGAGGATTCGCAAGGTATGATAAACCAATTCAGTATCAGTGGTTTGTTATTGTCTTATTGGGGTAAATTACAATGGCAAACCTTGATCATAAATGACACGAGACTCTAAATGGAAAATTTTGTTTAGAATGATTTTTATATCATTGGTCAAAAATGAGTCTCTGGGCATAATTGTTCAAAAACGAGATTTCAATGTTGTAGGAATGTTGTAGGGTGTCATTGTAACTTATCCAAATGTCAACAAGGTTTTACGGTAATGTTGGTGTTTGGAGTATTAGTTTTGCTTTCTTATCTTTTTCAGTGTCAGAATGAGATTATGTTGTTACATCTTTGAAATGTCAGGGGAAAATAAACCCAAATGTCAGGAGGTGCCATTGTAATATACTTTTTCATTTATCCAAACTGGATTGTGATGCTTGAAAATTAATGATTCATAATCAGATCCCTGGTGTGCCGATCATGTACATAACTAAACACAAGTTCTCAATCGAACGGTTGCCAGAAGCTACAATTGGCGGAGGTAGGCTAATTACTCGAAATATATTGCTGTGAAGGTCTTGAATATTTTTTGTTTCAATTTTTACTTTCCCGTTTGATGTGTTATCTGAAACTTGCTATATTTTGGTGCAGCTCCAAGGTATTGACAACATGGGTATGACTATTTACTGCAGTAACAGCGTATAGTTATATGATTAGGTTCTGAAGCCCATGCTAGTATGCCCTTTTGAGATCTCCGAGATTAAGCATTTTTTCTATAAAGATACAATTGAGATTTAGATGCTGATCGAAGTCCCTTCATGTCTCGGGGAAAAGGGTGAATTTTTGTTGAAATATTGTTTCTTTTCCCTCTGAAGTTTATATTGTCAGCTGTGGTGATTGTGTCCTCTTTTCAGCATTAGAAAGTCAAAAAATTTATTTTCCTCTCTTCACTCATCTTGTTGGGGACCTCAACTTATCATTGTTCAAGTCTTCCTTTAACAGAGAGCAGCTTTCAGTTAAGTTAACAGACCAGGACTACTTAATCGTTTGTGCAGTGTATCTATTTGTTTCCTGCTAATCTAAATAAAATCATTAATTAGTCGTCGTGTAAACTGCTTTCTCATGATACACTTCTTTAAATCATTCTATTTGAACGTTGGATTGGGGGTTTCCTATGACAGGGTTGTGTATAATCAGATTCATTTCAGGGCGTTAGTCGAGGGAGGAGAGCGAGTCATGATTTGAAGCCGTTAAGATTAATTAACTAATTAGATTGTCTAATAACTTCGGATTGCATTGATCTTTTAAATACAAGAAGCTCTTAAGTTGGAACAGAAATGCATAGGCCTTATGGAAGCATGTCCAACTTCATAGGGTAAATCTCATTTTGTCAAATGAGATTTTCCCAACTTCAAAAGGTTGCAATTAGAAACAAGTAGACAACAACTTGCGTCTGAAGTCACAAATCATTCATTCATACAGATCTCAAACAATGTTGCTCATCAAACTGCAAAGTTCTATACCATTTTCCTCCGAGTTATAGCAGCTGAAAGAAGTTGCAAACACCCACCCGGGATATACGCCTACCCCGCCCCGACTCGAAAAAAATAAAAGATGCTAGTATACAATTAAGCATTTCCGGCATCAATTCAGAAGGATGCAATTACATACAAGACTCTTACCTACAAAATATGAACCTAGGCATACTTTTGGACAAATGAAAAAATGGAAGAATGAAGAGGGGTGAAAAACAATTAGGTTAGACTTACTACTAGCAAGAATGAGCACCACTCGAATTGAATAAATGCTATCTGACTGCCACAGTTGTGTTTGTGTTTTCGATCTCGTCTGGCGGGGGCTTCACATACTTTCCTATTACTTTCTGACGAGTCCGTTTCCTAATCCTAGAGATCTTATCCTTACTCTGCTGCCTCCTCTTCTCCTTCTCTCGATTTCTTAGATTCCTCTCTTTCTCGTAAAGACCTTGCCAGAAGACCTCACCTGTTGATGGCCACAGCCACCTTTTCTTAGGGTGGTCTGAATCTGATTCTTCAGCTAGGTCCTCATCCATGCTCTTAAGGGTGTTGGCCTCGAACCATTTGACCCACATTTGACCTCTCCGGCTCTTCAATTTGTGGTGTTCTTGCATCACGCCTGTGTTTGGATTCACATAAACCATTCGTCTTGCACTATGGTATGCCCAGACATTTACGAGTAGCTCAAGCACCCGAGAGTAGCAATGCTTGTCCTGCTTAATGAGCGCCATTTTTGCAGTTCCAAGACAGTTAATTTAATGACGACCCAAAAAAAAAAAATTTCGAAAAGCAAGACTTGAAGGAAAGGCAGTAAAAAGAAAGAATTGCACACTTACTCCATGATTAAAGCACAAAATGAAATAAATCCATCTTGTTTGTGTTCAAAGCATAGATAGCACAACTGTGGACGTTTATAGGAGACTAATTTTTGAAACTTCTCAGTAGAATGGAAAAAAAATCAAGGATTTTACTAGATAATCTCACTTACATTAACATCATCAAATTCATAGTGCAAACAGTGCATGGTTACATCCCCTTTTTTTTACTATTAATGGATCTTTGATTAAATACATTGGTGATGTATGCTAATTAGTACACTGTTATAGCATAATTTTACTCTTCCAGTATTTCGACATGTTTCCAAAACGTGAATGCTTATAATGAGTATGACCAGCTAAAAGCAGTTATTGAAAATTGAAGCGAGTTACCTTGGATAGACTCAGGTAACACTGCCCACTTTGATGGTGCTCATCATAGAATTGTGCATCAAGTGCATCCACAAACATTCTAAAAATGACATGGACCATATCAATTTTGTATGTGAATGAACTATTCAAGAAAAACAAGTAAAAAGAAAAAACAAAACTATTGAAACATGGATTACGCCCCAGATATTCAAATAGAGGCATAAAAAACATAAATTTCCTAACCTTGAAAACATTACAAACTCTAGGAAGGACCTGGTTGGCAAAACCCAGCTATGCATGATGGACCATGTGTCCCCGTCTACAGGCATGGGAGGTAGGGAGCTCAAGTTATGTTTTATGCCATACATCTTCTTAAAAGCCACGGAGAAAGCAAACCTTCAATCAGTGAGGCAAATAAATCAGGTTGAAAACCCGTGCAAAAAAATTAAATCATGTGAAATTCTTATACTGGCTGAAATATGACATGACAAGAACAAGAAACAAAGTGGACAGTTTTAAAATTAAAAACAAGAAAAAGGAACAGAAAAAGTAGGTGTATTAGACATGACAAATCTTACTTGCAACTTCCTGCATTTATAGCATCACAGAATGACCAGAAATCCTGTTTCAATGGGTTTCTTGAATCCATGTCCATACGAACCCAAAAGTAGAGAGCGTCACCATGTCTTCGTGCTTGGATATCATCCAACAGTGCATTTTCAGCAGTCTTAGACAAATTTTCCTGTTAGAAGTCCTCACTTTAGACATGAAGCAATGCTTGACATTATGTCCATGGTAAATTGATCTACTTCAAATTGGATTTGAGAAGAGGAGGTTGTATTATTAATGCCCTGGTAAACCTATGAAAGTAGAAGCAAAAGTTCAACTTCCGAATCTTGATCAGTTGAATCTCCTGTCCCGGCTACCTCTCTACAACTTAAATGAATAAAAATTCTTGCTTCTTGGTTTCAACAAAATACACCCCATCTAAATAAAATGATCTTCCAATGATACGCAGTCAATAGTTTCTTTTACCCTTTTTTTTTGTTGGATAGGTTAAGGTTTGGATGGTTGAAGTTAACAAAAGAATGTATCATCATTTTGGCCTTTCAATATGAAAACAAACAAAATTTGTAAGTCATAAATTTGTTGTCATTTTGTGCTTCTACAGTCTACAATTCTGAACTTTTCAGTCAATTTAAGTTTTCCAAACTAATGAGACACTACCATTTACATCTGTTCATGAATCGCAAATATTCCAAACTCACATCAAATATTATCTTAATATTTTATAGTTTCATGATTAGCAGATCCAATTTGAGGACATTTGGCAATTTTTATACTTTTGTTTGCATTTGATCCACATTGGTAGGCCCTCTACCACCAGTAGTTTCAGTCTATAGCCATAGGGGCACCTGATGTCAACCAAGGGACGTACAGTGCCATGCAGTGCATTATATTAAGCCAAAAAAAAAAAATCCATCCCATGAACAAATCTGGTTGCACAGCATTACTCTGATAAACCGAGTGAACAAAATGAAAGTCTGATACCAGATTAATCTCCCAACAGAATCAAGTCATAGCACTATAAGCAACCACGTACCTTCCTAGCCATTGCTCTCCAAGATTGGAACCCTATCCAAGCATTTTTGTGAATGCGGTCAATCCGATTAGCAATTGCCAAAAAGGCACCATAGTCACCGAGGACATCTCGATAATAAGTATTGCTCAGGAGTGGAAGACGAGAAGGAGCATCAACATCATCTGCCCCAGGTCTTCGACCTTTGGCGGACTGCAACCAAATTGTCCATGTATCAACATAAGAAAGGAATAGTACCTGATGACCTAAGCCAGACTAATATATCATAACGTCACCCCTCTCCAATTCACAAATAAATGACACTTTAGGTGCATAATTACACCCTTATTGCATCAATCGAACTATTATTGTTTCAGATTTCTCCCTATGGAGATGAAAAAAGAAAAGATGAACATCGGAGGCAAAATCAAACAATGGTTGTATGGCAGAACTGCTGGGTTGTGTGCAGTTGATGACATGGGAATTGCCAAAAACAATGAAGTGTCGCCAAACTTCAGAAACTTGTCTCAACATTTTGGGTCACAATCAGAATCCAATTTTCAAACTATGGAATAAATAAATGAATTAAAAAAGAGGTATACAATAATGCCTCGTATGGTTGACAGCCCACACCATTCTCCCCCTATCTTGTCAAACAATTCAATATATATTAAACGTACCGTAGTAAAAACTTGATAAAAATGCACATACACCCTCAAATAAGCATATAATAATTCATATAAAAGTTGTACCATTTTAACAGAGTAGCTAAAATGAGCTTGGTGACTCACCAGTCCGAGTCCACGATAGAGTGATCTACGTTGTAAAAAGGGCCAGGTTCCTTCACCAAAGTAAGGTTCATAGATGCATAATGGTTGACCCGTCCTTTCAAGCTCCCCATCATCCCTTTCATGCAAATCATTCTTAGAACGATCAGCCCTTTTGGCACTTTTATACACGTCCTCCCATGTTCCCCGAGGTTGTTCAGTTCTATCCTTTAACTGCATCAAATTACAAAGAAAATGGGTTTCCACCAAGGAGGCAAGGACAAAAATAATAGATAGAAATACCAGAGATTGTTCAAGTCAAATTCACAACATGTAGACGACTGCCTCCATCACTTACCTCTTCTTCTTCTCTTCTCTTCCTTGTGTTATTCATCTGAACAGATTTTTCTTCATCCCAGATACTGTATAAAAATGTTTCATTAGGTGCAGTCACAGCACCAGAACTCTCCCTTTGAGTATGGTTCCATTGACTTTCAACGTTGTCTAAAAATCCGTAGCTTCTTGAAGTTCTATTTAGATAAGTAAAATCTGCCATTTCTTTGAAAAGATGCCACTGCCATTCTGCTTTCAACTTGGAAGGGATTTCTTTGACAGACTGGGAAGGTGCAACTTCAGATGGGAGCTTCAGAATGTGTTCCAAGAGCAAAGCATACCCTTCAACTGTTTCTAAAACCATGAGATTTTTAGCAGTTTGTTTTCCAATTGAAGCAATATTGCGAGCTAGAGGTGATAGTTTTCCTTTTGAGACTACTTGCAACATTATCTGTTTCAGAAACTTAATATTCTCCTTTGGAAATAGATAGCCATTCACCCTATCATCAACCTGATAGTATTGCCAATGGCCAAAGAAGTCAGTAACTTGCTTTAAAAAAAAAAAAAAAATCCATCCAAGAAATTAAAAATTTTGTTGTAGGTAACAAAATGAGGAGATTTAGGATTGGATGTCATCAATGGTCTAGGATGTCATGTATTACTAGTGCAAGTAACAAATATCAGAGACTAATGACCCATGTGTCAACTAGTCCTTGCACCTGGGATGCCTCGGACCACAAATTTAATCTGCCGACTGCGGAAAATTTCAGCTATGTGATGTAGAAAAGGGTCGACTTAAAAAGGAATCAGAAGTTTGAGTAGCGTAGAATCTATAAGGATACTTTCCTCTCGGTGTCACACAAAGTGGGACACATGTTTAACAGGATCAGTGTTTCTTTTCCTCCTGCAAACTCCTGTTAGCAGTATTTTGTTGGGTTCCAAACAGATTTTGTTAGCTTTAACCATGCATATAATCTATGACACATGCATGTGAAAAGGTAATATAGCACCCAGAAACATACATATTTTTTTATCATCAAGAGATCCGGGGCTATTATTGGTTTTCCAAAGCACATAGCTCTTATCAAAATGTCCGGAAAAGATTGCTCTTCACGAAAAGATCCATATATCACAAGATCAGCCATGCTTAGAACACTGTCTACACCTTCATCAAGAGCAACATGCTTCACAATTCCCTTTGGGTATCCCAAGTTTAGAACAATGGCCTAAAACAGAGGATTAATACTTATTTAGAGTGATCCAAACAAAATTAGAGCAATCAAGTACCCCAGAAAAGTTGAAATGAAAATAAAAGATTAGCAGACATGAAACCAACTTTTTACCTCCACAGCCACACTGTAGTTGCTAGCTGAATAACCACTTAAAATAATGATTTTGAGATTAGAAGTGGAATTGCTATCAAATGCCGAACCTACAAAATATGGGCGTAGTTCCTGTAAAATAAGGGCCTGCTCCAGCCATAAACCTCTATAAGAGATTTGACTTCCCATGATTGCAATAACTAAGTCATCTGGCCCATAGTCCACCCTGACACGCAGATTATCTTTATGTAAAGCCAAAAAATTGTCTGCTTCCCATGCTTCAGCAGGAGAACCCGGTATAACAAAATAGTTGCCAACATCAGCTGCCGAATAGAACACCTGGCAAAGGCAGAGAAGAGGAAAACATACCTCAGCAGAAAGTTATGCTTCTTTTAGCATCAATTTTAAGCCAATGCACCATTATTGATACAGTTAGAGATTAAAATGGGTTCAAGCTGTTCTGTGGTAGGATATTATCTACATATAATGAAAAGAAACATAACTTGATGATCGTCCCAATCATCTTGTGGTCTTTTATTATCTTGAGTCATAAATCATCTCCTGATTGAAAAACATTTAGTGGTACATGCAAATAATCCAACAACCCCTGCAATCATGACACTTTCAACAAGGAGATTTTGCTGGATGCATTAAAAGTTAAATGGACCAGTTTGTGTATCAGATATTACCGGCAGGACATAGTTGGGGAAGACAACAACAGTAGCACGATTGAAAACTTTTTTCCAAACTTCTACAATCTCAGTTTGGCCACCTGATAGGTGTTGACGCAAACGGATGGCTAGTGTTTTCTCATGGATAGTCCATATAAGAGGTACAGATTTGAATGGTTCCTGCATGAGACTGTAGCAAGTAAAATTATTTTAATAGGATAAAGAAAATGCTAATAACAGAAACTTCAAAATCTAAACAACTTACATGAGGTAAAATAATTCTGTATATTTACATAGATAAGAAAAAGACTAGTCTCCTGCAGAACTGTATTTTGTAACAACAGCATTTTTATAATCCAAAGTTTCAAACCATTAGGTAAAGACAAGAAGGCACACAAATAAAACAAAAACAACAGTCAGTAATATTTCCATTGTAGTGACTATATAAAGCAGTAAGCGGATCAAAGTGTCTGCATCATATGCATACCAAAAGAATTTAAGAACTTTGGAGCATATGAATGTGAAACTCCTTGCAAACCCCTAATAGAACCACCAAAAGATACTGAGCTAACTCTTTTTGAGCATGATAGTTTAGTTGGTAACTCTAATAAACAGCCATATCGTCACTATGTGAATATCCTGCCCAAAAGAGATGAATTATCTCCAAGAAACAGCACAACATGAGAACTTGCCCTCGCTCAAAACAAAATCGACAAACTTAGAGCAATTTCTGCACAATCACTATTCTCTTTGTGAGAAAGGCTAATACCAAGAGCCCATCAATACAAGAAACATGCACTTACCCCTCCTGTACACGTGTAATTCATTATCTCCCCCAGCTTGCTACTTCGATACTTCAAATGCACAACTAAAAGCTGAAAAGAAGTTACTTATCAAGACAAAACCTGAACCATTTCAATTGACCAACTTTCACTCTATCAAACCCACTTCTTCCTGTTTTTCAAATATCAAACCACAAAATGGATTCATAATTTGTTCATTCCATTCGTCTAATATCCAAGCAAGCCATTTTCACAATCTTTGCTTGCAAAAACTCAAACAAGCCAAAGGCAATGTTTTCTGTTCTCCTCAGTTTTTTTTCAGTGCATGGACCTTCTCTCCTCATGTTTAAAATCATCAAAATTGTGTTATTTACAGCCTTGCTAAAAACCAAACCTGTAATGTACAGACATGAATGTGGTTTTTCTCTTAAATCCAGAGCAAGACAGCATCACTGAACCTAAATCAAGTTTATAAAGCCACCTTATATAATTAGAGAATATGCCTTCAACCACAAGCTCATAACAGCATCCTAAAACAATGTTATTAGCTATGAACTTTCAGCAGGATTCACATCTTCAAAACAACTTTGACTTAATGTATGAAACTTGATATAAATCTGATTCACCAACAAATTTATCAACTATAAACTGAGATATAGGAAAATAGTTTTCTGGGTTCAGACAGCTGGAAATGTATACTCTGCAGAGAAGAGACTCACAGAGGAGAAGACAACACAAATATTGATTTCTGTAAGTAAATGCATCTGATTGAAAGATAAACAGGTAAGACTTACCAAGATAAGACTCCCATGGCTTCAAAAGAGTTCACAATTACGCCATCATAGCTACAAAAAGGGATATAGAGTTATAAGGGAAAATACCTCAATTCATAGTTTTGCTGAATTGCTAATATTTGAGCAAGAAAAACCACATTACACACACACACACCCAGACACACACTAGGGACATATCTGAAAGTGTAGAGGTTTAATATCTGTGGAACATTTTATACAATTAAATATGATTGCTTGGAAAGGATTCAAAATAAGAAAAGTCCCAATAGCGCTAAAATATTTTGGTAAAGAGTATGGTTTCTATTCGGACCACCATACAGCATTTACTGATGGCCCCAGTCATAATGAAGCAAAACAAAAACAGCAAGTGATTGATTTAAGGACCATGAGGATAGCCAATGCAAAGAAACAAAATGAAATGATTGTTGTTTGCTCAAGCAGCAACAGGATGGTCTTCAACCAGTTAACATTCCACCAGTTGAATTATTAATCATAATTGGAGATACATGATATATGGCCAATTGAACATCCAAACATACTTTAGCCAGTCTACAGTCATCGTCCTATTCTCAATCGTTTCAATGATATTGACTGTAAGTTTGAGATTTTTCCAAACAGTGCGCACAGGACCATCTTCAAGTGAGTAGACCTGCAGACAGGAGGAAAAAACAAGTGATAGTTACACTAATACATTTATCTGATGCAGTGTTACTTAACAAAGTCAAATCCACCAATTTAAATGCTTGACAAAGAAAAGCTATGTGCATTATATAGCCACCAAACAACTAAACCTCTTCAGATGATACTCGTCTTTGATGACAACCAACCAAGGACAGGCACGAAATCACACAACCGGACAGAGTGAGTAAATCAAATGATTTGAATCAACGAATATGCACACAGTACACCAATCTCTCATTCCCTGACGTATGCTCACTGCAAATAAAGACACATTTGCAGACATGCATGGGGGAGAGAGAGAGAGAGAGATGATTGGATGAGGGTGCTCCAAAAGATTAGTACTCTTCCCCAGGTCCGCCACGGATCAAAAGTGAGGTCTATTGTATAGCTTAATCTGAAAATGAGGCTTCAAGAAAAGGTGGTATCATGAAATAGTCCAGACGTTATTTTATGGTGATTTCAGGGAGCAACTAAACTCTATCAAGTGCAATGCTATGGTTCCAACCCAAATGTCCACACAACTATTGACTTCCAATGTCGAGGAATTAAGCATTATAACTTTTGGTATCTCCAATGACAATGAGAGCTAACAAATAGAACTAAAAGCCCAGTGAGGCCACGGCTCTGAGGAATTTCAAATAAAATGGAGGAACAGCAGCACAGCGAAAGCAAATAGCGAAGTTCAACTGAGATGCAAATAGAAGATGCATGCATCCAATAATGTCCCTTATCTCACATGATCGGTGTTCCTAATCTGAGTGCTAAAAATCTTTCACTGACCTTTTTACACTGCTTCTTGTAAGAGTTTGGAGTATAAGTTTCTTAATAATAAATGCCCAAACATAAACAAACAAAATGCATTGCCATTGAAGAACACCTTTAGCACAAGTTGTTTAGTAAACTCATTTTGTTATTGAAAACATGTATAACATGTGTAAAGACATGAGATCCCAAGTAAGCTACCTTAATCTTCATCCTTTAACTTTGTTATTTTTAAAAACAACAAAAATGCTGATAAATTAAATGACACTGCAGGTTACTTAAATCAAACACATTTCACCGGAGACCCAATCCATAAGATGAAAGGTCAATGGCCATAAGGCCACTAGGATGATGAAAATTGACAGCATTCACTGACCAATTACATTACCTCAATTTCATATCCGATGCCTTGCAAAGCAGCTGCAACCGTAACCATTAGTATCTGCTGTGGATCAACCAACATATCTGGAAAAACCTACAGGAAGACATCAAAATAATGTAACTGCAAACATACAACAAAACCTAAGTAACAATACGTCCCCCAACAAGCTACTTACCAAGGATTAGGAGAATACCAAACATTACACAAGTCCATCAACAATTACACCCATCAAACAGACATATCAAATAATAACAGTAAAAAGTAATAAATATCAACCTCTAAGATGAAATCAAACCAATAGAAATAGTAACATGAAACAAAAAACTTACCCAAAAAAGCATATAACAAAAACCCCTAAACGATTATAACTCCACAAGCTATCCACTTAGAATAAATAAAACACTAAACCAATGCAATTATGCAACCCCAACAAATAAACCGTGTAAACATTAATCTCCACAGAGTACAAACTGGCAAAATCAAGACGTCAACACGAAACAAATTGCGATAAGAATAAACATACATAAACAGTACAAAATTGGTAGGGAATACTAATTGCTCACCAAAGCAAGCTTGGGTTTTCTATACCCAAATCTCACTCCTCTCCTTGAAGCAGATGACCCATTGACCTCTTTTTGAAATTTAGCCAAAAGCTTAGAGGGCTCAAACTTTATATTATCCCCATAATCCAACCCACCAATCTCTCTCAGAAGGGTCAAATCCCCAGAAATTATCTGACTTTCCTTCAGGGAATTCCCAGATTTTTCCATCACTGAACCAGGCAAAAACATTTGAAAAAGAACTACAAAGAATAAGAACACAGCCACTGTACAAATCCATTGTAGATAATCAATTTTCTTGAACAACACGAATCTTGCAAATCTCGATCTCGGTCTTTGACCAAACAAATATCTCTCATTCCTGCTTGTTGCCGATGAAGAACGAAGCAAATATGAATCTTTCTTAGAGGAAATACCACTTTCAAGAGAACCCATCTACAGTCCCATCAATATACTCAAAAACATATACACAATTTTTATATACCCATATAGTATGAGTAGCATGGAGAGAGAAATCTAGATTGAGAAAAGATAAACAAATAGAGTACTTTTTCTTGCTGTTTTAAGAAATGGGTTTCTAGTATGGGTTACACAAGAGTGTAATCATGATCCAAGTGGAGTTGGCAGAAGACTGTTTGTCTTCTACCATTAAAGAATTCAGCAAGACGGTTGTGGGTTTTTCTTTAGAGTGAAAGAATCAGCTACACCGCATGGAGAGAGAGAGGTGTAAGGGGCGGTGAATATGACCGAGATTGAGTCTATGACGTGGGTTTGGTCGTCAACGGGTGAAGTTATTAAATCAATATTTACACGAAAAGTTTGGCCTTTGAGACGCGTTTTCGTAGGGATTTCATTGGTTTTGCTTTGTGATATCTTTTCCGGAAGGTAAGGTATTTGCTATATATATGGTGATTATTATGAGAATCTAAATATATGGTGATTATGATAGAGAATCTAAAATATATATCAGTGGGAACCGACTCGAAGGGTTTGTCTGTAAGGTTGAGGATCTTTACGCAGTGTTAATGTGACTAAATTGCCCTCGGAGTGACATAGATTATTGATTATTAATAATATTTTTGTGTTTAAATTAAAATTTTATAATATAAATAAGTCCATCCAACGGTTTTAAATAGAATTATCTAATGATCACTAATATTTCTTTCAAAATCATTTATATTACATCTTCTCATGAAGTACGAATTACCTTTAATACTTTATTATATAATATTTAATTATTTAAATAACAATTTATTTTTTTATTTAATTATTTAATTTAAAATTAAAGTAAATATAAATAAGGAGGAGAGAGGGATATATGTGAACTAATTAGGTTATTTACTATTGGATGTTGTTTAAAAATAATTATATTTTTGAGTAGAGAAATAAATTTTAAATTAATTTTTTACCATTAGATCAAAAACATATGAAAATTTAATCAATTTTGATTGTTATTGTGCTTTTATAAGTTAAAAAATAATTTCTTAACTGTAATATTAAATAGATGTTTAAAATCTTGCTTGAAAAAATAGTTTGTTTTTTTTTTTTTGTAATACAATGTGTGAGTGAGTATTAATTAAGATGTCGTTTCTCAAAAAAAAAAAAAAAGATGGCAGCATTATTTAGGAGAAAATAAAAGAAAAGCAAAAAAGAATATCTAAATGTTAATTATCATCAAATAATAAATTTTACATGAGTATAAAAATAGTTACCTCTGTTAATAAGATATGATTATTCTAATATGATTTAAAGTAAATGATATAGTTATTATCGTATAGTTCAAATGTAACGAGTATGAATTTAAAAAAAAAAATCTCTTATATATATGGTATAGTAAAATTGTAAAATTATATCTGATCTTTTTGAAACCAAGATTGGATCCCCATGGGAACAAGAGAATATTTATATATCAAACTATAATATCATCATATCCAATATAATTGGTAATTTAATTACTTTGTAAAAACTTAAGATATGATAGGTGATGTGATATTTACTATTACCATGAATTTTGGTCTAATATTAATGGCTTTACTACCAACTGTCCACCGACAATTGTTTGCTGTCTCGCCGCAAAACATTTGAATAATATTTTGATTTCTGTCAACTGACACAACCCAGCGTTTGTAGTCCAACGGTTAGGATAATTGCCTTCCAAGCAATAGACCCGGGTTCGACTCCCGGCAAACGCATTTTTGAGCCAAAGAAAAAAAAAAACAGAGAATAATAATGCTTGATTTGTTTGCTAACGAGTCCCCAATTCGGGTAATTTAAAAAAAATGTTTTATTTTGACAGTTCTATCTAGAAATATTCATTGATTTCCATGTCCCATTTTTGGAAAACCGTTGATGCTTTCGGCAGATGCTTTTCTTTTTTGACAAACAAACATGCATCAATAAAAAGTGCATTGGATCTTGATTCCAAAGTAGACTTTGGAGCAACGTCTGGAGGTTAGTAGAACCAAGCAGTAACATTTTACTGCAGCAACAACATCAAACACAGTTTATTTTCTAGAATTCACCTAATCTCAGTAAAGAACGAGCAGGGTCTGCAGATCAAAACTCGCCTGGCTGGGTTCACGGGTTCAAAGAAAATAAATAACGCGTTCATTAGAAATGGAAAAGATAATTAATACTATCATCCTTAAAGAATTTCAATAAAGCTGCGTCAGTAAGAAAGTGCCAAAATGAACGCAATATACAAACAATTTTTCGCGATGCGTTGTCCATTGTTTGCAAACAGTCGATTCAGGAAATAGCTGTCAATGGACTAGTATACTCGAAATATGATTGCAGAGCCTTCGAGCACCAAAAGGGGAAGATTGGCAGTGGGACTTGCACTAGTGGTTCAACAATTATTCTGTTGGTTCCACCAAAGAATCATGAGGTCCCTCAACTTATCCATTATTCACAAGCCAAATTGCTCCAAACTCATTTTAATCTACCAAGTGGGGACTCCAAGGCATGATCATCCACCAACCATAGGCCAAAATCATGGAATCGCTTTATCTTCTTCTCAAAACCAGTAATGTAATTATTGTGAATGATGACATGCATTCCCTTAGTTTCCTGCACCCATGTCTGGTTCTTGAAGTATAATCCACCTGTTGGGAATGCTGCCTGCGGGAGCAAATACAGATCCACCTGCAGCAGTTTCTTACATACATGAGTTAATTTCTTCAATGTGTTAAGTGCAACCAACAGAAGCTTTACTTTACCATGAGTGTTTCGACTGTTCACAAAAATCCCAAACATTTTGCACAATCATAAAGAACAACTTCTCTGTTCCAAATTCTCAGACTTTCAGTTAATCCCTTCTACTAGGATATTTTGGAAATGGGTTTGCAGAAAAATATGAAGTTTTCTCTAAAATACAGGTCTGGCAAATGGCGCAAAGTGACTATCACAAAATGTATTAGGAGGATACAGATAAGGCTACAGTAACTCACTAGTAGGATACCAGATGCAGTGCAACGTCCAGAGACAAACACTTATGAAGTCGGTAAAGAAGAGAAGAGAGGGGTGGTGAGGTTTGCCAATCAACTCTATGTTAGGAAGACACGATTAATTGAGTAGGCAGAGGCCTTTGGCAGATACAACAAACAACATAACGAAGTTGTTTTAACAGTTGTAGTACAGTAAGAGCACTAACATGGTTTTGTGATCAAGATAAGTCATACAAAAATATTGGTACTAATTGTACCATCTGAACTAAAGACTGTACAGTGTCTCAATTCAAAAGAAATACACCTTTCAAATATCAACAGGATTTAAGGGCTTGGAAGCTTCAACGAAAGAGAAAACATTTCTCATTTTTCCATAAGGTTGGTCTAAAAACTTGAGTTTCTACATTTCCTACAAATGAGGAATTCTTCAGTCACACAGGGTTGGAAACTTCCCTCATAAGAAAAGCAACAAGGAATATCTATACTATTGGTCCACAGGCTGGACCAAAAGTGGGAAACGACACTAGGATTGACCTAACCCATCTTACAATACTCACTTTTGTAGTGAAAGCTGTATAACATGCATTCACTCAAGAGAATTAGGCCTACCTCTCATGCTAAGTCGGAGTTATACATTGATTGTAAGCCAACATTTTGAGTTTAGTAGGTGACTCATGGTTACCCTTAAACAGTCATAACCCTAACTGGCTTTCTAAGAGGGTGATTTTAACAGAAAAGAGCCTCCAGCAAGAACAAGCAGCAGAAACAAGAACAAGATAGAATATACCTGTCCTGCAGTTTTGTTTAATGCCCAGTTGAAGGCTGGCTGGTCATTTGATTTCTTTGCTTTGGACCATGGCTGAGCCTGAAGTTCTTCAATCCACTTCTTCATAACTAGTTTTGCTCCAGTAGTTGGCCGCAGATAAATCATACAGCTGCAAATGTAAGTGCGCCCTTTTTTTCCTGGAGGTGGCAAATCGTGAGAGTGATTCAGAGGTTTCACCTGGTTGCCCCAAAGGATACAAGAAGAGAGCAATGCTTTCATCATTTAATAGTCAAGAATGCACGCTAAAAGGAAGGAATTATAAGCCTGCAAGGGAAGAGAGCAGTGCCATCCTTGTGTTTAAATCAACAAAATCATTACATGTGAGCAGGATTCATTGCCAAAAAACTTCATCTGATAATGTAAGTTTGTTGCCATATTCCAGACTGATAGTGCACTAGCAAACAAATGAATATACTGACAGCATCAACCCCAACCAATCTAATTTGATCTAAGTCCATCATTTGGATAATCCACCGCATATGAAGAATTTTGTCACCAAGACCAAGCTTGAGTTATTGTCATATAAAACTATAATGCAACTGAGTGTCCAGCATATATACTACTGCTGTTCTATTTGACTCCAAATGGCATAAATTTAACCCTAGTAAAATTAAAATTAGAAGTGATGTCAAGATACATACCGCAGTCATGTCATCTGTGAAGTACACATCATGCTCCCCTTGCAAAGAAGGAAATGGATCTGCTAACCAGACCATATCAACATCATTGTACATGACATTGTAGCCAAGCTCCAGAATTTGTAGTAGATGGCGTGGCCTTCGAGACGTAAAATTGAAGAATCCCTAAAATTTTACGAGGTTATTTCCAACAAAACAACAGAGATAATCACACAAAACAAATAGAACATATACAAGTAGGCAAGAAAAAGTGAAGGATCAATCATCAATGTTAGATGGAGCTTCAGTTTATGTGCTGGCTTGTTTGGAAAGTGACAGTAGCAGAAAGGAAAAGCATTCTTGTGCTATTGCCTGTGGCTATGCATAAGAAGAAATATAATGATGCAAGCAAAGGTAGCAGGTGCAGTCAGTTCTTGGAGAGTAACAACCTTAAAATAGAAATTTTATCATTATGAGGAAATGCAAACTTGCCTACGTAGACATCGGTAATATTGTGCTGACAGCATGACATCAGCACAGTTTTCTAAATACATAACCTGAATAAGATGAAAAGCAATAAAATCTAATAAAACATTGCATCCTAATTTCCTCATTGGTGCCAATGCTAGCAAAATATTGGACATCACCAATTTACAGTATGAACTCATTGAGTTCGGAGAAGAAATGCTTAATGAAATGATATTGTGATTGTCAAGTTTGGATCTTCATGAGTTTCGCAAAAGGAACTCAACAATAGAAATGCCCATCAAGAGGGGTTTGAGCAAAAGTAGTAGAGATTCACACTATCCCATTTTAGCAAACAAGCATTCATATTCAAGATTGCAACAAATAGCAACAACCAATGGAATAACAAGGCAAGCACACATCACAGCAACTCGTATACTATAATTCAAGTAGGCTACATTCAAATTCTGCACAAAATAAGCAAAACCCACATGTTAAAGTACTCAAATACAATATTACCTGAGACCCAAACTTATGAGCAGTCTGAGAATCTGGCGCAGGCGGCACGAGCACAGCATGGCCAGGCCATTTCTCATTAACCATATACAGAGTTGCATAATCCTCCGCGATCACAAGCACCTTCTCCTGATGCTTTTGCCTAACTATACTAATCAACCAATTGTTCAAAAAAGGCAAGTAAGGCTGACTCACAGCACAAACAATCACAGTCCCATTCTTCGCCACACTCGCCACCGCCTCAGCCAACGTGTAGTCCTTCCATTTCGATACTGAGAGTTTTGAATTGGTACTGAAGAGACCATGGGGTATAGAAATCCATGGGAAGAGAACTCCAAGTAGTACTAGAAGGATCAAGAGGAGTAAGAGAGTGGTTCGGTTGATAATCGTGGACGGTTTTTGGTAATCATTCGGAGATCGAGGGGATGATGAGTATGAATCCGTTTGAACATTGTGAAGTGGCCTTTGATGTAGAAATGCTGACATTGTTCTTGAAAATTAGTACTTCTAAATTCTAATTCAGATGAAATATCAAATCAAATAGAGCTATATACATGTATAAGTGAGCTTTGGTATATGATCTGCGACAAATTTAGGGTTTCCACAAAGTTGAAGAAGAGATCGAAGATCAGATCCGTTGAGCTGTGCACGAATGAAATTTCTGTTATGTCGGTGACGACGGGTGGCGAGGCGGTGATTTGGATCGAGCCCAATCTAGGTGGGAAATTGTGAATGATCTTTTTCCTGGAGTCTTGAGCTGAGATTGGACTTTAGCCCACACTTACAACTGGGATGTGGCCCCATTGGCCTAAGGGCTGATCCATTAGCCGTATAGCCCACTCTTTTAAATGATTAAGTTTTGTACACATCAACTGAGTTAGTTAATCTGGTATTTCGAAAATTCAAGATATTTTTTGAATTAATTGGATCTACTTTATTTGTATATTTCATAATCATTCAAAAAATTTGAAAGATCTTTCAATTCTTATGAAATTGGAGGGGAGATGAACCCATTTTGTTGATGATGAAATGTAAGAGTTGCAATTAGAATAAATGACCGTTTAGGACTGTGCGGGCTCGATCCTGCACGATATATAAAATATTGGGAACAGATCTCTCCCCCTGGTGAACTCTGAGTGAGCCGGTTGAGTGGCTAAATACGCTGTTTGGAACAACCTTCGAGGTACGGTGGCAACCTGGAACGGCAAAGGAAGATCCTGGGAAAGGAGGAACGATCCTGTACGTGTGGAAGGTATTTCCTGGAACAAAGGAGAACAAGTTAGAAGGGCGCCGGAGTGTTTTCCGGCGTATCCCCTCCGACGGTCTAGTCAGTCTTTGAATGAGAGAGAGGAAGGAGAAAACACTGAGAAGAATATTTTGTAGTAGAGAGTTTGTGATTGCATACCCGCTTTGTCTTTTGGGAGGGGTATTTATACCTTAGAAGATCATGATTGCTGTCAGTGTGGTCAGTAGGTAATCATCAGGCACAGGTAGCGTGTGTAATCATTTGATGAGGAATGTCTTCTCTAATTGATTGCTCGGGGTACCGAGCAATCAATGGTGAGTTGTCGGGACGCCGACGGTACAATATGCTCCTTCCGGGAAGGATGCAATGAATGCTCTGTAATAGGAGCATTTATTGCCTTTCATATCCGAACCTTACCGCATTAAATGCGGTCTCGTCAACAGAAGGGTGCAATTAATTGTTTGTTTTCCCAAGTCGCGTGCCAGCAGCGGCATGCGGTTTGTCTGCTTCGGATGTGACATTATTTGCCACGCGTCCATCCCTTATTGGTTGTTACGTCGGTATTCCAGCACGTTCTGACATTACTTGTGTAAGAAGAGGTCATGATGAATAATCCATACTGGCATAGGCTGATGTCCAGTATGTCAGTAGCCTTATCCGGGAGTAGAGGAAGCGTCCAGGATGGAGTGACCCTCAGCGCCGAGGAAAGGCTCACCTCGGGACCAAGGGGTGGTGTGTTCCCGAGGTACATGGTGACCGAGGACACATGTCATTGTATAATGTACCGAATATGTGATCCTATATGAGAGGTACCTCGGGGGAGAGGACGCCTTTGCCGATGGTGCTCGAACCCGAGCAACATTGTTCTAAAAACCCCGAGGACACGTGTCTTCATCATAGGCTTTTCAGAAAAGTCCCATCAACTGCCCCCCAGCCTTCGATCTTCTGACACCGAGGACACGCGTTGTCAGGAGACGAAGGGTTTCCAACTGCCATCCGTCCTTCATTATGGCCTCGAGCAGCTTTCCCTGTCTTGGGATGTCGTGCGCATTAAATGCGCTGTTTTTGGTTCTCCCGCCCAATGATGACAGTTTCCCCCCTATATAAAGGGGGTTCTTCTCCGGTTTCCTTCGTTTTGCCATTCCGATCTCTGACCCAGAATACGTCTTTTCTGATCTGCTCGCCGGAGTTTTTGTTTCCTCAGCCATCGTCGACAGCATCTTCTCTTAAAACCTCAGTCAGTAGAACCCATTTGTTGACTCCTGATCCTTCCGGTGCGAGTTATTTTCAAAGTTTTTCCCGAAAAACTCCGTTTTCGACGTCTCCTGGTGAGTTTCACAACCTTCTTCTTTATCGTCCCCCTAGCCTTCTTGCTTTCCGATTGAACAGTGGTGTCATCCGGTCGGTACGTGTTGATTTTAAACCCTCGGGGAACTTCCTCAGGTTTTCAAGAGAGAATACCTTTTCCTTCCCTTTCTTTTAGAGATGTCTCGTCGTCGCCCTGTTCCCGAGAATCCATCAGCTGGTCCCTCGGGGTCAGGGAAATACAAGGTGACAGGCGAGGCGCAGATTGATAGGTTCAGGGCGAAGTATAGCATCCCCCCGAGCGTGGACGTAGTGGGCTTTAACCCTTTGTTGAACTCTCATACCTTCGGGGCCGCGGATGCCATGCCTTTTTATACCAAGGTCATCATAGAGGGTGACATTAGGTTTCCCTTACCCCCCCTGCTTCTTCAGTTCCTGTCTCGCTTCCGTCTCTTCCCCGGGCAATGCTGCCTCAACGTCTTTAGGATAATTATGGGGGTCCTAGAGCTCAATAGGCGCCTCAGGGTGAATATTGGGCTCAATGATCTTCTTTTCTGTTACTCCCTCCTAAGAGTCATGCCCCACCAACATTTCTACCTAAAAGTCAGGGACCCCTCCATGTACCTTGTAACCCATCTTCCTGATTCGGACAAAGGGTACAAGGACGACATCTTGATCTTCAAGGGATGTTGGGAGAGGGGTGTTGGTCCCGAGTACAATGACTTACTTTGCCCTCGGGAATGGAGAACGACAAGTACGTCGGTTCCTTCGGGTTCTTTAATTGTTTCTTGGGACTTCTCATGCTTATGACAATCTTTTTCTTTGTGCAGATATTCCTTCTCGGGAAACAGCCCCACCCCCTCGGTCGCTGGTCAATTTTGCCGACCTAATAACGGTTTGGAGTTTCACGGGCGCCGACGGATTTGGCCGAGCTGCCCATAATCTGCTGCACTATACCCCCGGGTATAAGAAGTTCTCACAGCTCCCTCAACCTTTCGAGCCTTCGCAGTGGTCAGAGCTCTTTGATCAGGCGGCGAGGCTAGAGGTCGAGCAGAACTTGGAGGAAGACCCGGATCGGGCTTCAGAGGGAGAGGTAGAAGGAGTTGCTGAGGTCGGGGTCAGAGAGGACGTTGCTCCTTCGGACGCTTAGGTGGGGACTCCAGGAGGCGATTTGTGGCCTGATTTTCAAATTCTCCAATCTTTGGACGCCGAAGACGCTCTCGAGGAAGCGATGTCCAACCCCCACGCATCAATTTGGGGTTTCTTAGGCAGAGGCAATCCCTCGCAGCCGGGAGAGGCCGAGGGACGACCGGCGGTACTCCGGCAGGAACCAGTTCCGCCCATTCTTCGAGGGCTCCCGGTCAGGGTCAGGTGCGAGACCGGGATCCTCAGGTGGAAGAAGAGAGAAGGGTAAAGCATCGGCACGACGGCCTCAGCCGGGGACCCAGGGCATCCCCCGCTCAACCTCAAAGCGGGAGGGATCGTGGGTTACCGCCTGCTCCCCCTCAACAGCAACAACAACAGCAGCCCCGACAACAGCAACAGCAGCAGCAGCAGCAACAACAGCAACAACAGCAGACCCCTCCTCCCGTTCCGCCTCGGGGGAGGCCGCAGAGTGGAATCCCGAGCCACTGATCACATGAACAGAGTGATCAGGGTCGATGATTCTATTCTGTCGGATCCTCATGTCGCTAATGCAGTGAGTGAGACACTGCATTTCGAGGCCGACATGGAGGCTCATAGGGGGCGATCAACCAACGTGTTGTTCCGCTCCATGATCCAGAATTCCCTGGTGGTGAGTTTATTCCTGTTTTGATCCCTTCACTCTCGTTTTCTATTTTTGCGATTAACACTTCTTTGTTCCTTTGCAGGCTACCCAGCAGATTTCTATCATTGCTGGTCGGTACCATGCGTCCAGGATGGACCTTCAGAGGGCCAAGGATCAGAAGGCGGAAGCGGAAGCTGCCCTTGCTCGGGCAACGGAAGATGTTGCTGCCAGGGATTCTACCCTGGTGGGGCAGGCTGCCCAAATAGAGCAACTCCTCAAGGACGCTGAATCGGCCAAGTCGGGCGCTGAGAAGCTAAGTGCCGCACTTGCCGATGCTGAGAGGAGGATTACTGAGCAAACGCAGCGGCTCTCTGCGGCGGAGGAGAGGGCAGTGGGCTCCGAGGAAAGCTGCCTGGCCCTTACCCAGGAGCTAGATAGGATCAGAGCCGAGGAGCTGAACCGGAAGTCGGAGCAACAACTTCTGGAGGAGTTTGCCGATGACGTGCTCCCCGCTCTTGAAGAAAATAGCAAAGAGTTCTTCAAGAAAGGGTGGGACGAGGCGCTCCAGGCTGCTGGAGTCCCGTCAGACTCCCCTCTCTTCCAAGTGCACAAGTATGTGCCCTCGGCAGAGATGGAGCAGGCAGAAGCACAGGTTGCTGCCGAGGATGAAGCCCCTACACCGATGCAAACCTCGGCTGATGCTCCCGAGACGGTGATAGTGGACTTGTCCGAGGACGCTCCGTCCGACCTTGCCCTAGAACCTCAAGCTGCTCAAACTGTTCCAGCTGTTCCTGCTGCCGAAGTTCTTCTCCTGCCCGCTCCAGAAGCTTCTCAACCATTTATCGCTGATTCGCCCTCGGCCGAAGTTCTGGAGGTGCCTGGAGCCCGATGAAGCTGCTTTTTACTTCCCCTTTTTTGTACCCTTTTTGCTTTCCTTTTGTAGCTTTCGGGGACGCAAAGCCCCTATTTCTTTTGGAAATAAATAACTAGTCTTTTCATTTTTCTGTCTTCTTCTGTATACAGTAGTACTTTGCTTTTCTTTATTTCTGTGTAGAATAAATCATAAGTGTTTTCGAACTGTCTTCGGGGCGTGCTGGCCCGTTCCAGAGGCAAGATCTTGTATCAACCTTGGGGACTGGAAACCTTGGGGACTGGAATGCTTGTGTTTCGCTCCCAGGACCATGTTCTTTATGGATGTTTGTTCCTGCATTCGCTTCGGGGACAGAGTCCCTGAACTCTGTCCCCAGGGCCTACCCTTGCAGGAGGCTTGCTCCTGTATGTACTTCGGGGACGAGAGTCCTTGAACTCTGTCCCCAGGGCCATACCCTTGCAGGAGGCTTGCTCCTGTATGTACTTCGGGGACGAGAGTCCTTGAACTCTGTCCCCAGGGCCATACCCTTGCAGGAGGCTTGCTCCTGTATGTACT